TCTCACCCCACGCACAAGATCGAAGGCACACGCTTGTTTTTTGACTTCTATTCATTTCATTATTTTTTTGTTTCTCGATCGCAACCCACACACAAGATTGAAGGATTGTTTCTGGTGTGCTTAATTTGAGTTATTCAGATGTTAGTTTTCTTCAATTGATAACAGGATGAAGAAAAGAAATGAAGTCTGTCTTATAAACGAAAATATTTATTTAAATGTTTGCTTGAGAAAATTTGGCAGAATTGGATTATTTTCATTCCCTTGCCACCATCTATGAAAAAAGATACCCATATGTAGTTAGGAAACTAAATTAGGGATAAGACAAAATTTTAAATCTTAATCTTAGCCGTTGATTTATGTTTAATCCTGTCCCTACAACTCACTTTGTCAATATGGTTTGTTAAGTGACTTGGGTAAAGTAGCATTATTCATATCGGATTGATATAGTGGATGATTTAAGCGGCCTACGGGTCCCGTGGTTTTTAACCAATTTGGGTTTTCCACGCTAAAAAGCTTTTGACATTTTATTACTTGCTTGATCATCGTTTGGTTGCTATAGCTTGTGATTATTGTTGTTGTTGATTGGACTTGGTGCTTATTATTCAGTTAAAGTCATTGTTGTATTTGGTGGCTTTAACCACAACAATATGGACTCTTGGGTTTCTTTTTTTATGATTTGGGCCTGAATTGGCATGGGCCCTCTACAGTTTCCCAGATAAAGGAAGCCATTAAGGCCCACCTCCCTAGTTTTGTGTTTTTATCTGAGACTAGGAAAACAAAATTTTTCATGGAGACAGTTTCTAAGAAATTGGGATTTGCTGATAGGAGAGTTATAGTAGAGCCTTTGGGTTTAAGTGGAGGTCTTATGTTGATGTGGAATAGAGATGTGGAGGTGATGCAAGTAGTTAAGCATAGCTTCTGTATTCAAGTGAAGTTCAAGACAAAGCTGATGGGGAACCCGGAATGGATGATCTTTGTATATGGGAGTACAGACAGTCAAACAAGAGAGCTGCAATGGAGGGAATTGGAGAGGGATAAGGGAGTTTGGGGGTGATAAATGGTGTATTGGGGGTGATTGGAATGCTATTAGAGGTAGTAGTGAGAAGAGAGGAGGGAGGATTAGATCTGAGAGGAGTTTCGACAGTTTTAATGCTTTCAGTGCTAATATGGGAATGATGGAGCTTAATATGGAAGGATATCCTTTTACTTGGGGTAATAACAGGCAGGGGGAAGGGTTTGTGGAGGAGAAGTTAGATAGAGTTTTTGGATCTTTTGCTTGGGTTTCTTATTATTCAGGTGCTAAAGTTCTTTCTCAATTCAAGAGTGCATCTGATCACTCTATGCTGATTATGGACACTGGCATCCAAGAACCTAAATTCTTCAAGAGGTTTGTTTTTGATAAAAGGTGGGTGAAGAGAGAAGGGTGTGCTGAGGAAGTTGAGAAAGCTTGGAGTGAAGAAGTGGATGGAAATCCAATGGTGCAAGTTAGAGAGAAGATCAAGAAAACCAGGATGGCTATTATCAAATGGAAGAAGGTATTTCAATCAGAAAATGTGAAGAAAATTGAGGCTCTGACATTAAAATTGGAGGAGATGAGGGAGTTAGGGGGGCAGCGGAATTGGGAAGAGTGGGAGAAGATCAAACAGGAATTGGACCAATCTCATCTGGAGGAGGAATTGTTTTGGAGTCAAAAGGCTAGACTGCAATGGTTGAGAGAAGGGGACAAAAAAACTAAATTTTACCATGCTATGACTTTACAGAGGAGAAAGAGGAATGCAATTGAAAGATTGGTGGTGGATCAGAATAGAGTGGTGGAGGACAAAAAAACTAATTTTTACCAGAAGTTGTTTGAATCTGAGGGATCTTGGGGAGAGGCTGAAGTGTTATCATTAATTCCTCAATCAATTACAGCTGCTATGAATGAGGCTTTAATAGCCCCTGTGGAGGAAGAAGAAGTGAAGGCTGCCCTTTTCTCCATGAATCCTAACAAGGCTCCAGGTAATGATGGCATGACCCCTCTTTTTTATCAGCATTTCTGGCCTTTGTTGAAGGAAGATATATGTAATGCAGTATTGTTCTTTTTTGATTCTGGGAGAATGAGTACTAGTTGGAACCACACTGTGGTGACTCTGATTCCTAAAGTTGATAATCCAGTTTCTATTAATCATTTTAGACCAATTAGTCTCTGCTGTGTTTCTTACAAGATAGTGGCTAAAGTGTTGGCTAGTAGATTGAGAGAGTGTCTGAAATTCTGCATTCATGAAACACAATCTGCATTCATCCCTGACAGACAGCTCCTTGACAATGTGGTAATTGCTCATGAAGTTATTCATTTTCTCAATAGACATAGGTCTGGTAATAAATGTTTTATGGCAGTAAAGCTTGATATGATGAAAGCATATGACCGGGTGGAGTGGAACTGTGTGGTGAAGACAATGCTTCAAATGGGTTTTCATAGAACTTTTGTTCAGTGGATTTTTGCTTGTCTCTCAACTGCAGTGTATTCTTTTAATGTTAATGGAAGGGTGTCTGGTTTTGTTACTCCATCAAGGGGTATAAGACAGGGGGACCCTTTGTCCCCTTATCTTTTCATTATAATCTCTGAGGTGTTTTCCCAGTTAATTAGAAATGCAGTGAGGGAGGAGGATATTCAGGGTCTGAAAATTTCTAGAGGTGGAATCACTTTATCTCATCTATTGTTTGCTGATGACACATTGGTGTTTTGTGCTGCTGATATTCCAAATGCATTAAGCTTGTTGAGAATTCTTACAGTTTATCAGAGTTTTTCTGGGCAAAGGGTGAATCTTTTCAAGTCTAATGTGTTTTTTAGTAGAAATACTAGTGATCTGATGAAGCAAGCTGTCTGTCAGACTCTCAATGGGATTTCAGTGTGTTCCTCAACTAGATATTTGGGATTACCAATGGGATTGGGGAGGTCTAAGAAAGAGGTGTTTCAGTTTGTTCTGGATGCTGTGAAGAAGAGAATTAATAGCTGGACTAACAAATTTCTGTCCAAGGCTGGGAAGGAGGTAATGATGACTTCTATTATAAATGCTCTTCCTGTTTTTGTCATGTCATGCTTTTGCTTGCCTGTGAGTATATGTCAAGATATTGCAAGAATGAGTGCTGAGTTTTGGTGGGCTGGGGGTACTGATCAGAAGAGAGGGCTATTTTGGGTGGCTTGGAAAATAATTACTATTCCAAAAGAGGCAGGTGGGCTGGGGTTTAAAGATGTCAGGTTGTTTAATGATTCCTTAATTCTTAAGCAAATCTGGAGATTATTAACCAAGCCTAACACTTTGATGACTAGAGTGCTTAGAGATAAATACTTCCCTTCTGGGTGTGTGTTGGAGGCTAAAAAACATAGTTCTGCATCTTTTTGGAATTCTTGGGTGAAAGTTTTGAACCTGTACAGGGAGGGTTTCAGAAGGGAAGTAAAGGATGGCCTGAATACTAAAATCCTGTCTTATCCTTGGGTGAAGGGTTTAAATGCAGGGAAACCGGTTCTGAAAACAGAGGTGAATTCATTGCCTTGTGTTTGGGTGAATGAGCTGATGACAGGTGATGGCAGAGCTTGGAATAGAGAATTGATTCAAAATCTATTTACTGAAGCATCATGTAAAGCCATCCTTGAAATTAAAGGTTTGGATCCTGCTGCAAGAGACAAATGGGTGTGGACATCTGATGTTAAAGGTATGTTTTCTGTTTCTTCAGCTTATGCAGTAGCAGTGAAGAAGAAGATCTTGAGTCTTGATATGCCAGGGTGTAGTTCTAATATTAATGCTGATAAGAAGGCTAGAATGAGGTGTTGGAATCTGAGGGTGAAAGGTAAGATAAAGCACTTTATTTGGAGATGTTTTACTGATTGTTTACCTGTTAGTGCTAATCTGAGAATTAGAGGGATGCAACTGGATAATGTCTGCCAGTGTTGTGGTGAAAGTGTGGAAACTGTAGGGCATGTGATGTTTACTTGTTCTAGAGCAGCTATGGTGTGGAGTTTAGTGCCTGTCAGTTGGGATTCTGCTTCTATACCTGTTGATAAATTCAAATATTGGTGGTTGAGCATTGCAGAACTAAAGAAGACACCTACTTCTGAAGCCAGGATACAATTGTCGACGTATATTTTGTGGTGGCTTTGGAAGTCGCGTAACTTATGGGTTTTTCAAAAGGTATGGATGCCGGAGCCGGTGATTGCGAGAAATGCTTTGAAGGAGTGGTCTGAATTTAATTGTTGTAATTTGTAGATTGTGTTTGTCTTTTGTTTGAGTTTTTTCTGTTTAGTGTGTGGTTTGGTTGTCGGGGCTAGGTTCTTAGGTTCAGTGGCCCCGGTTGTTTCTTCTATGTTGTTGGTTGGGTGTTTCGGTTTATGTTGTCTAAAGGGTCCAAATCTGTGAATTTGCCTTTAGACGGTTGTAGTTTTTTGTTGTTGGTTTGTGTTTATGTAGTCCACCGTCGGAGTGGATCTCCTTTGGTTTGTTTCGGTTGTGTATTTTCGAGCTAGTTTGCTCGTCGGTTTGTACTTGAACTATTTTTTTAGTGATTATGAGTATTTGTTATCGTTGGAAAAAAAAAAAGGTAGTTNAAAAAAAAAAAAAAATGGCAGTCTTTTAGTTTGGTGGGGCTGGTCCAGCATCGATGTATAACATATCCTATTTCTCATTATCAATTGTTATGACTTATGACCTTGTGGATTTATTTCTGTGCGTTATCCTCTTTCTCATTAACATTAGTTAGAACACCCACAATGTATTGGGTCTCTTAATAAAATATCATATGCCACATGTGAAATAGATTTAAAGTAGACATGGTCTAACTTATGTGGCAATAAAAAAAAGACTTCAAATCCACTATTGGATCTATTTTGGACACAAGTACAAACTCAAACACTCATCATTTATTCCTAATTTAAATTTTCTCTTAATAAAGGAAACATATTAGAGCATTTTTATTAGTTGACATGTATGGTAGACCTAGTATTTTATTTTTGCATTGGATAACTTTTGAGTTTTTTTACTTGGGTTTGTCCATGTTATTTAAGACTTAAAGTCTATCTATATGTCACATATGTAAAATTAGACTCAATGCATAGTTGGTGCTCTCGTGAGTTTCCCAAGGAATTTTTCGGAATTTTTTTCTTTTTGAAAACATCATGTATCGAACTTTCATTTGAATTCGAAATTTAGCTAGATTCATATTCCCCATTTAGTAGATATCAGTAACATGACATTATTGTGTAGTTTGTTGGTTAACCGGGATTTGATACCACTTTATTATAAATTTCTTACGAAAATTTTCAGCCCTCTCATAATTTCTAGATAATAAAATTATCTTTAAAAACAATTTATGTTACTTGTATGGTGGTACATTGGACTAAAACGGCACAATTACTATAACGCCAACACCGCCATAAAGCAGAGGCTTTGCTTTCCCGTAGTGAAAGCCTCGCCATTAGTTGACTCCGTTTTTCCTCCAAGCCTCATTTTTCCCTAACAGAATAAAAAAACAACCCCACCTTTCCAAATTAATTTAGTCCATAACCCTCCATATCCTTTTTCTACCATTACACACTTCAGCCCCCTTTTCTTCCTCTCGCAAAAAAAACATCTATTTTTTCCCACGAGAGGGGGTTGATCTCCGACTCAAAAACAAATCTATTAAACAAAAAAATAAAAATAAAAAAATAAAAATTGTGGCCCTGGTAGGCACGTAAAAGAAAAACAACGATAAAAAAGATAGGAAACTATGGCTGTCAACCTTAGGAACAAGACAGCCATAGCCGGGGTTTGCTCCCTCCTCTTGGTGGCCATGGTTGTAGCCGTCATCTTCGGCGGCCAGACCAAAAACGAGCCCGATGACCCCTCAACCATTTCCTCCTCCCAAAAGGCCATCGCCAACCTCTGCCACAACACCGACTACCGCGAAACTTGCGTCGACACCCTCACCTCCTCCTCCGGCGGCAACAACGCCACCAGCGACCCCAACGAGCTGATCGAGCGCGCCTTCCGCGCCACAATCAACGACATCCGCCAGGCCGCCCAAAACTCCTCCCTCTTCCTCGACCTCACCCAAGACCCGCGCGGAAAATCCGCCCTCGACAGTTGCCAGGAGCTCGCGGGCCGCGCGGCCGCCGACCTCGAGCGGTCCCTCGACAAGTTCGCCGCCGGCCTCGACTTCGCGACGCTGGACGACGTCCTCTCGGACCTCAAGATCTGGCTGAGCGGGGCCATAACGTACCAGGAGACGTGCCTTGACGGGTTCGAGGGCATCGAGGGGGACGCTGGCGAACGCATGCGCAGTCTGCTGACGAGAGGGATGCAGATGACGAGCAATGGGCTGGCGATGGTGAACGAGATCTCGTCCGTGTTCCAGTCCATTGGCGCGCCCACGTTGAGCAGCAACCGGCGGCTGCTGATGCAGCTGTCGGATGCAGAGATTATTCCCGATTGGGTCGACGCTGGCCGGCGCAGGCTGCTGATGAACAACGCGTCCGCCAAGATAGAGGCAGATATCGTGGTTGCCAAGGACGGGAGTGGGAATTTCACGACCGTCAACGAGGCCGTGGCCAAGATTCCGAAGAACAGGAACACGACGTTCGTGGTGTATGTGAAGGAAGGGGTGTATGAGGAGAAGGTTGTGTTCGGGAGCAGCCTCACGCACTTGCTCCTCATCGGCGACGGGCCCACCAAGACCAAGATCACGGGACGGCTCAACTACATTGATGGCACCAACACCTACCAGACCGCCACCGTCGGTAAGTAGTGTTGATGAATCATTTTTTGTTTAAATGGTAATAATTAAATTGGTTAAATTTTATTTTTAGTACACTTTGTTGGTCATTTTTCGAAAAAGGTCTATCGTATATGTTGTCGTCAAGAATGGTCCACTAAGTTGCCACTTTCATCAAAACTCGCACAATATGTTGTTTTTTGTACTGATTTTGATTAAAGTGACAACTTAGTGGATCATTTTTATGACATTATTGAAAAATGGCCAACATAGTGGACCATTTTTGAAAATTTGCCTAATTAAATTCCTTTCAAATTCTAAATTATGAATATGGATTATCGGATAACAGCGGTTCAAGGCGACTATTTCACGGCCAAGGACATCGCGTTCGAGAACTACGCTGGCGCCGAGAAGCACCAAGCAGTAGCCCTGCGCGTGAGCGCAGACCTCGTCCTCTTCCACAACTGCCGTATGGACGGATACCAAGACACCCTCTACGCCCACACGTACCGCCAGTTCTACCGCAATTGCACCATCACAGGCACCATCGACTTTGTGTTCGGCGACAGCGCAGCCATCTTCCAAGACTGCACCTTCGTCGTCCGCAAGCCTCTTCCCAACCAGAGCTGCATCGTCACCGCCCAGGGCCGCAAGGACATCCGCCAGCCAACGGGGCTCGTCCTCCAAAACTGCTCCTTCATAGCCGACCCTGACTACTTCCCCCTCCGCCACACCAACAAGGCGTACCTCGGGCGCCCGTGGAAGGAGTTCTCACGCACCATCATCCTCGAGTCCTTCCTCGACGACCTCATCCAGCCTCAGGGATGGCTCCCTTGGAACGAGACCTTTGCACTCGACACACTTTTCTACACTGAGTTCAATAACCGTGGGCCAGCGGCATCAAAGGCGGGACGGGTTACGTGGGCTGGGGTCAAGGAGCTGCCGGCGAGCAGGATCCGGCGCTTCACGGCAGACGAGTTCATCGACGGAAAGCGGTGGGTGCCGGTGCAGGGGATTCCGTACGCTGGGGGATTTATGCTCCCAATACCGGCCAAGGATGAGAATGCTGGGGCCTACTCGCCCGTGGTGCCTGAGGAAGACAAGGACATAGGCGGATCCAAGGACAAGTCGGAGTACATTGGGAAGAATAAACCGAGTGCCTCGAAGGTGCCCACGACGAGCATTGCGGCAGCACCAGAGTCGTCCTATGTGGCGGTTGCTTCGCCTTCGCCTTTGCCTTCACCGTATAATAACAATAATAACAATGAGGATACAACTGTTGCTGCAGCTTCAAGTCCAGCTTCTAGCCCTGCCTTGCAATCGGGGAAGACTGACTCAGGCAGTTTCTTTGGTCTGTGGTGAAAGGGAGAAAATAAGAAGAAAAAATATTATCCACCACAAAGGGATTATTGAAATTTGTGTGGGTTTCGAGTTTTTCTAATAACAAAAGGGTCGGGGAGCATCTAGTATGTTACTGCTAAAATGAAGTTTTGCAGTTAGTGTGTATTTTTATTTTTATTTTCTTCAAGGAAATATAAATATGATATTATTATTATTTTTTTTTACATTCTTTTGTTAACGACCATGATTCTAGCAAGATCAGTCGATTGTTACGTTTAGTGTCTATAATAAAATGTTGTTTCTAGTTTAGATTCGTACTAGTTCGTATTCTTTGCAATGCTAAATAATATTATAAGAGCATCTCCAACCAGTTCTCTATTCTTAGAGGAAACGGTATGGTTGGAGGGAATTCGTTTCCAACCGGCTCTCTATTTTTGTAGGAGACGACACCGAGATTTTGTGGAACGGTTGGCACACAGTTTCACTGTTCACCCTCTTTCTGCTTTTTCTTTTTATTTTTCTCTCTCTCTTTTTTTTTTGTTAGAAATGAACTTGGGTTGTATTTTGAGCCGATTTAGATGTATTGTAGTCGGTCTTTTTTTAACTACAATGGTGTTGAATGAATTAATTTGTTTTATGGGTTAAATTGAAATATTTTATAAATATTTTAAACTTAACTATTGTAATTAATATGACAGATAGGTACTGTAATGGGAAATTGGATATTTTATTAATTAGTATGATAGAATATTAATTAGTATTTAATTTCACTTAAATATTTATTTCAAACAAACAAGCTTCATGTTTGTGTTGATTTTTTTTTAATTAATGTTTTTGATCAAATCCACGTCGTCTTATGATGTAAAGTGTAATTTTATGATTTTGATTTAAACTTATTAATTAATATTATTAGTCAATAATTAATATATATACATAAATATGTAAGTTTTATGCGAGCGTAATGCATAAAAAAATTTGTAGTGACTATTTAATAAACTAATAAAATTAGAAGAGAATATGCTAGGAATATTCTTTTAGAGGGAAATTATAGAGAAAATGGGTTGGAGTTGGTGACACTGTTGAAACTGTAAAACTAGTGTGATTTCACTGTAAAAACTATAAAAATAGAGTTTTTGGTTGGAGATGCTCTAAATAAATTTGTGCAATACTCGTGATTACATCAAAACATCGATACTGAAATTATTATTGTAAGTGAGATGTTTTTTTATTTAATTTTAAACAGTTTTTGTAAATTCCATTACTAAAAATGTATGAGAAAATGTTTTTTATTTGAATTTCTAATACTGTTACAAAATTACATTATTATTTATATTTAAATGAGACTTTTCAATTGTGCGATTTTTCCTTATATATTATAATAATATTTCTAATTTCTATGTAATGAATTTATTGATAAATTTTAATTGATATATAATTTTATTAGTTTTTAATTATTACTAAATAATAGATGATTTAATTTTATGATAAATAAGCTAAAGTTTAAAATTATTTTATATATGCAAATATGAATATCAAATCGAAGCTCATCAAACGATCATCTCAAAGAAGCTAAACCAGAAACACGTCTGGTAGAAGCTAAACCGATGACGTCATCTCAAAGAACAAGTGGTGACTTTACATCACCATCAATGGATCAAGCTTAGAGGAAGGAGCGTGAAGAGTCAGACGATCGATAAGTTTGAGTATCGTCTGAGAGAGTATCCAAACGAGCAAAGAAGAAGATTCCCTTAACCACGGGAAACCGTGTCTGAGTATTAAGTTGAAACCTGGTGAAAGAAAGAACCAACGTTGAGGGAAAAGGGAGAACAGAAAAGCCTCAATCTTGGGATTTTAGTACCCTTGAGTAAATTTTACCCATTTAAGTCGTGAGATCCTCGATTTATATCGAGAAGAAGTTAGATCCGAGTCGTAGTGCGCCGAGTTAGCTCAGCGCTTTAGTACAGTGAAATTACTAGCATAAGACGTGGATACGACTGTGTTGGTAACTGCAGGTGACACTGACACCGCAGGTGCATCGCACGTAGGTATCGCATGCAGATGTTCCGCGCCCGAGGGCCCAGGTAGTGGGTAAACCGCATGCAACGTACCTTGTGCAACGTGCTACGTAGTCAGGAGTCGGGTCATGGCGAGTCGAACCGCAATTGCTAGTTGCCTCATCAATAGTACAGATTAATGGACAATCAGGAAAGATGATCAGAACGCTTAAAGGCTAGCATTTTGAGTGTCATATGCGTTCAGTAGAACGATTTGCCACTAAAGCAGTTAATAGAAGATGATAGACATGACACCATGCGTTTTAGTACAGACACGAGTGTGGATCGCTGAAGTATAAGAAAGAGATAGAGAGAGAATGATTCTCAGTCAAAAGTAGACCAACAAAAAAGGGAGAAGAAATCAGTGATCCATGCAAAGACTAAGAAAACCCTGAACTGAGAAAAGTCGCATGCAGGCCAGCAACAGAAAGACTTTCAGACCAGTGTGTACGGCAAAGTGACCTTAAGGGTCACAACCGCAAAGAAAACTACAACTTAGTTACCCTAGCTATTTTCAACTTTTAACCGAGACGGTGAGCCAAGCCTAACAGTTGGGCTTTGCCGCCAAAGTTCTCGGGAAATGTCCAGCATTTTCACCCCATATCGAGATTGAGAAGTTGTACTCGAGCTCGAACACGTGGGAAACTTAGATGGGCCTCAAAATGATCAGAGTTGACATGTGAGTTAGTGCCAACGGCCACCTTATGACGGAAGATATGCTAGTTAGAGAGTCGAGAAGTAGGCCTCTCTAAGTCCAAGAGTGCAGCCATAACTAGGGCGATACTGCTAAGAGAATAGATGATCTTCTTTTGAAGTTCCCGAGATATAGTTTCTAAGTTTTTCCTTGGACTTTTCCAGAGGCACATAGCAGAGTTTGGCGAACCGCCATGGCGAGCTAATACTAGCGAGACCGGTCGATGCCAGGACAACCCTATTCAGTATCCAGATAGAAACTCTTAGTTCTTGAACTTGGGTTAATGGTGTAAAACAACCATGAAGTCGGGTAAATTATGGCCTGGGGGCTTGAAGCCGGAGTTGCCATAGCGAAGTCAAGATCACTAGTAAGAGGAAGACCGAATTCAGAGCTAAGAATTTTGGACCAGTATCATGACTCGTAGCTTAGAGTTTTGGACTTGTGCTTTAGTATTAGCATTTCTGAGGACGGAAATGTTTTAAGGAGGATAAATTGTAAGCCCCGACCCAGTTTCTATACACTAGCTCGACTTTATTTTCCAGAAATAGTAAATTCATAATTATGCCGAGATTTATTAATTATTAATTGCATAATTTATGAAGTCCTAAGTCTAAGCCATGGAGAAAACATTCGAACTTTTATTTTGTATAACGAGATAAAACTTTAAGTCCAAGTCTCGATTTATAATTTTAATCGAGTATTAGAAAAGTCAGGAATTTATTTAATTTCTGAGCGAGCCCAATTATTCCAAGCCCATTAGTCGGCCCATTTTAATTTGAGCTATCGATTTAAATTCCGAGGCCAAGTAGTATTTAATTTAATGAACCAAGTCAAATATTTATCGAGCCCAAGTCGTATTCAATTTAGCAAACCCGAGTCGAATAACCGAGCCCAAGTCGATTAAAGGCCCGATTTTAAAGGCTCAAATTGAAAACAAACCCTAACTTTCTATTCTTATATAAATAGCACACATCCCCCTCATTTCAATCTCCTTCATCTACATAGAAACCCTAGCCCATTCACTCCATTTTCAAGATCCACCACCATCACCTTCATTTTTTCGGCAAGTTACTGTTGCGGCGAGTCCTCCAGTCGACGAGCTCACCACGTGGGCGACCCAAGCTCGCGACCTCACGCCCTCCTCGCAACCAGCTCGCCGTCGCACCTTCTTCACGGAACCTCCTCCACGGCGAGTCCCCGCCGACAACCGCCGGTTCACGCGAGCTAAACCCGCCACTGTACAACCGTCCAGCTGCCGGTTCCACTAGCCGAGCTCGCATAGGCCCCTTCACAGCGAGTCCATCCAGCTCTCCACCACCTTCCAAGCCCCGACGAGCTTTCATTTCCGGCATCCCGCACCTCCCGCCGGCAAGAGCTCCAGCCACGACCAGTCGACCACAGCCGAGTCGTTCGCCGTCCAGCAAGCTCCCGTCATCGTCCTTTCTCGCCGTCGCACCAGCCAGCAAGCTCCCGCTGGCGTCCTCGTCGCCGTTCAGCCCTCCATCCCTCCGGCAAGCTGTGTTCACGCCGGTGACGTGCCACCAGCACTCCCGAGCGCATCCCGAGCCTTGATCTGTGCAAACCGAGTCAACCCGAACTCAGACCCTAGCCTAACAGACTAGACCCGTGTTGTTTAGCCCGGCCCGATTCCAACAGCCCGAGCATTTTCACTAGCCTCCATCTTCTTCTGATTTTTGTTTTCAGTCCCTCGAGTGGTATAATGACTGGAATGCTTTCTGCATGGCCTTAAGCAATAATTTTAGTTAATTATAAAAGTGAGTAATGAGGATTATGAGCTAAATATGATTTTATATTTATTTAATGAGTTAAAAGTGTTAGAGTAGGGTACCCGGCGTTCCAATCTAATTGGACGTATTCTACTTGTAAATACAGTCTATTGGAATTATATTATGAATAAGGCATTTCTTTATCTTAAGAGAAAGCATTTATCTTATAATTGCACTTAAGATAAAATCCCTAGATCACTTATGGTTATAAGGTATGGTTGCGCATAGAGATGGTGATCATGGAACATACCTTGAAAGCCGTGATCTTAAATACAGTTCCAAGTCGATGGATGTTTCGAGATGGGATATCGAATAATCCATAAAAGACTTGCACATAGTTTGTATGCTTGTTGGACAAGAATGTTGCATTCCATCAACATTAGCGTAAGACGTAAGTACATTTATGTGGGTGCTTGTTAGAGAACAAGTTCACTGAACATGACCGTATGAAAATTCTTAATGAAGAATTTATTCAGTCGAATAAGAATTTTCATGTTACAATAGTACATGACTAATCCTAAGACTTGAGGCACAATGGTAACTTTGTGCATATTACATTCTACTTTGATTTATCCTTTTGGTAGCTAGCACTATCGTTTAAAGGGATAAGTTGGGTATTATGTTAATATGTATGGAAGTTTGTTAGTGGCCAATAAAGGATTCGACACTTATGAAGATAAGTGAATTTCCTATGTGTTTCATAGTTATTAATCCAAAGTCCTTGGCCAAGGCAGAGATGAATAGTGATTCATAACAGGATTAATAAACTTGAAATAGAATCATAGTTATTAAGTCAATTTGGGTTTCGACAAAATCATACCCAAGACTTAATCGGGAAATTAGATGTCGAAAGGATTTTACATGTATGGAGTTGTAATCGGAATAGGTTTACTCGCTATTCACTTAATACTAGATTCATGCTACTTGCTAGGTGTTCCCATGATATGTGGGTTCTTGAATTAAAGGGTTAATTCCTGAATAAGAGTTAATGTGATTAACTCAAATTACAAAGAGTTATAAACCCACTACTAGTATTAAGGTGAACCTAAAAGGTCACACCTATTATGAACAAAGGTAAAAAAATTGTATTTCTAAAGAGTTAGAATTAATTGACATAATCTAATTTGATTAGATATCAATTAAAAGGAATATATTAATCAATAAGATTGATTAATTACATTTTGGATATTACTTTAGTAATTAAGGTAATTACTAAATTAATATGTTGGAATTTAAAATTGGATTTTAAATTGCCAAACCAAAAATAATAATAATATGATTATTATAATATGGATGTAAATTGGGAAAATGAATATAATAATAAAGTCTTGAAAAGATTCTCAAGATTTATTATTCTATTATTATTTTTATCTTTAAATATGATTTAAGGATTAAAATAATAAATATGATTATAATAAAATGGTGGTTAAAGGTGGTTTGAACCACTTAACATTATTTATTATTTTCAAAGTCAATAGTTAGTAAATTCAAAGTCAATAGTTAGTAAATATTATTTAAATAAAATCTGATTTTATTTAAATATTACTAAATGTTGATTATTTTATGCTAAAATGTTTAGTATAAATAGATGCAAAATGGTTTTGCATTTAAGGTGAATTCATTCCTAAAATTTCTAAGTGTTAGAAAGAAGAATAGTTCTTCATAAACATCAAGAAAGAGTTCTTGAAAATTCCCAAAACAAAATTCATACATATTCCTATACAAGAAAACCGAGACATTCCTACTAGCGAAGGAAGGTCGTCGGAACCGGGCTTCATAGGGTGGATACGTTTAGAGGGAAGACACTTGGATTCCTAAAGTGAGTAACATCAATCCGTTGAAGTTATCAAACCGGGAACCGATTCCCACAATCCACATCGTCGTTGAAGGAGTTCAAGACATTCGGTAAATACTTTGTATTTGTATTTATTTTATATAACAAATCAAAATTTGTATATGATGCATGTTTTAAAGATGACTATCAGTTAATTCGCAATTAGTATGTACGGGTGTTGTATTTATACGATAAATACTTATTTTGAAAAATTTTAAATTCCGCTGCTTAAAGCCCGTACGGTACTAGCGAACACAACAAAAAGGCTATAAATTCGTTATCTATTCATGGATGATACAAAAAATGCAAATCCATGTTGATAAATTCTATCTAGATAGGTTTAAATTTCGTGAATTTTGGTGATCGTTTGCTATGTTAACCGGAATTTTGATTATAGAGCCGAATGCCCGATTTTTGTTAAATAAGTTAGAGGACTTATAATGCTGCGATAAAATTCTCAAAAATTGTATATATGCTGAAGTTACTATAGTTAAAATTTTATGATTTTTGAAGACAATTTGATATAATTAAAAATTTGGGACTTCAGCCTCGTTTTACGAAAATTCTATAAATTGATCCGGTTGAGACTCAATTGCAGTTGTTGGGCCTAAAGTCACTAAAAATCATGTCGAACTTAGGGTTTATGTTTCGACTTAAAATGAGTAAGTTTGCCAGTTGAGTAGAGAACCCTAGTTCAGTCTTTTTCTGGACAATCCGGATGAATTCTAAATCCGAGTAGAAAAGTCGTGCGTCGGCGAAGCCGTGTCTGTGCGTATGTACCTGGACCATAATTGAACCGAGTTGCAGCCAGCCAGACGAGCGACTGGTCGGTTCAGCTGCCGGTCCAGTTCAACCGAATTAGTCTGGATGAATTATAGATCGGAGTTGAAAAGTCGTGCGTCGGCGAAGCCGTATCTGTGCGTATGTACCCGGACCACGGTTGAACCGAGTTGCAACTAGTTAGACGAGTGACCGGTCGATTAAGATCGAGCTGTCGGTCCAGTTCAGTCGAATCAGTCCGGACGATTCGGGAGTTTCAGTTCAGAATGTCAGTTTGAGCATGAACTGAGATTTAGTATTTTTTCCCGAACCCAGTCAGATCAGTATAAGCCAATTCAGATAAAACTCAGATAGCCAGTTCAGATAAAATCAGATAGCCAGTTCAGATAAATCAGATACGTCAGTTCAGATAAACTAGATAAGTCAGTTCAGATAAATCAGATAAGCTAGATCAGATAAAATCAGACAAACAGTCCACACTTAGACGAATTCATAGAACTCTAGAAGGTCTCAAGACAATAATTTCCCAGAATAGCTCATAAATTAATCCTCTAAATCGAGATTTAATGATTTTAAAACCAAGCGAGCAAACATAGTAAGATCAGATAATAATAAGATAAAAATTTTCAATTAGTACTTAGTATATTTTTCTCAAATATCTATGTAGCTTAACGAGAGTCGAGCCTCCGACAGCTACCATTCATCCAGTCGCACTTGCCTAGCAGTATTAGCAGATCAGGTGGGGTCATGTACTGAGTTCCACATCGTCTTTAATTATTTTACCATGTCCGAGGTATGTATGAGTAAATTATATCAACCAGAATGGAGGCAGCAGCTAGCCTTAACGATCCCTTCTTGGTTCAATTTATATCACCCAGGATGAGGCAGTAGTTAGCCTTAATGATCTACCTAAGGTTCCAATGGAGGCAGTAGCTTGCCTTAATGATCCAATCCGAGTGCGCACATGATTTAGCAGCTTTGAGCCGAGGGTTTTTGTAACCACCAATTAGTTCAGTCAGTTCTGGCAGTTCAATTAGGTTTAGTTCAGTTTAGTTCAGTTCAGTGTAGTTCAGTTTTTATATCTCTTATATACTTAAAGTCATGATATTGTTATTATTGATGTTGTTTTATTCGCTACTGGTTTCGGCGGAGCATAGTGGTTTTGCTCACGCCCCCACGAATTTTCTTTTTAGGTGATGGAGTCCAACGTGGCGCGTGAGCACTTGCGGTGGCCGTGGTCATGAGTAGATATTATTTTGTTACGCATGTCATGTCATTCATTTGAACATGTATTATTTATCATGCGAGTACTTATCATGTTTTAGCTTTCGCATATTTAGACCCAGTATGTATTATGAGACTCAAGACGTATGCATGTGTAATGCCTTTATCTCCATGGTACCTTTATTAAATGGATTTGATTAGGTTGCATCTATTTATTATGTCTGTGTAAGAAAGAGATAAGAAAAGCAGTAAAGTAGAGTTTAGTAACATCCCGCGAGTCAGTAACAACATTTTCGAAAATAAAGATAGCGTTTTTAGAAAACAAAAAGCAAAACTTTAACTCTGATTTTTAAAAGTCTAGAAATAGTAGGCGGGATATTACAATATAGGTGTGAGTGAGCTAGGGTTTGTGGATCATTTTGGGCTTTAAATTGGGCTTTGACCAAACTTGACTCGGGCTTAGAAGTAATAATGCTACGTGGGCTTAAAATTAAGTGTTTGGGCCAATTAAAATGAGTCGGGACTTAGACTAAAACAATTGATCGGAACGAAAAATTAAAATAATGGCTCGGTTACTGGGCCTACTTGGGCCGGGATGCAAGTGACTCGGCTCGAAAATTAAATAAATTCCCGATCGAGGCTTAGACTTAAAATTTTATTTCGTTTCCGAAATAAAATTTCGAACATTTTCTCCATGGCTTAGGCTTAGGACTTAATAAATTATGCAATTAATAATAAATAAAATATGGCATAAGTATGATCTTACTATTTTGGAAATAAAGTCGAGCTAATATATAGAAACTGGTTCGGGGCTTTACAGGTTACGTGGCCGAGTTTGAGGTTCGAGGGGCCAACCCAGCCGAAGTCGAGTAGATATTGCAGGTTTCACAAGGATTATGACCATACGACGGAGGATTGTAGATACCTTAAGGATGAGATTGAGCGCCTTATTCGAGCAGGGCACCTTAAGGAGTTTGTTTACCATGATAGAGCAAAGAAGAAAAAGGAAAAGAGAAAGTGTAGGGATGATTTAATAGAGAGAAGTGACAAGGACAATGATGAGGAGGATGATGCCCGAGAAGATCGAGGTGGCAAGAGAAATGATGGAGATAAGAGGAGACGAGGAGAGGGAGGCTGAGGAGAGCAAAGGTGAAGCGCCAATCAAAAGAGGCACAATTTATATGATTTATGACGGGCGCACTGATGGGGACTCAAACAACGCGAAGAGAGAGCATGTTCGAGCGGTTAAGCAGAAGGGAGAGGAGGTCAGAATTACTGCTCGAATGCCGAAAGTTCGACGTGAAAAGAGTGTTTATTGATACTGGAAGTTCGATCGATATAATGTTCTATGACTGTTTCACACAAATCAATAGGGAGTTAAACTTGGAGTTGAAACTGGTTGTAACGGCATTGTATGGTTTCAATGAAGGAGAGGTGATGCATATGGGAGAGACAAGTCTATCCGTTGCCCTGAGGTCGGGGGCAACCAGAAAGGTTATATAATAATTTAAGTGTTATTAATATTTTAAACATACACACTTTTTATGTTCTTTTATACAAGAAAATTTTATATTGTTTACAATGAACTCGGCAAATTATATCCCATGCAAATCGCACATATTTAATTTATAATTAGTAGTTAATATTGTTTACTCTCATCATTCATTTATAATTATTATTTAATATTGTTTACCACGGGCTACACACCAGTTTCTATTGAATCAGAATTTGTTTAATTCTTTATTTTTCCTACTCAATTTGCGAATCACATAAAATAGTAAGCGTAAATTGGTTTGTTTTGTTAGTTAATAACTTCGACAATAAGCATAAATCGAGCATCATGACTTAGCAATAAAGGGATAACTCAGTACAAAAGAGGTGATGAATGGCTTCATAAGAAAACTATCCGATTACTCTATAAAATTTTTCACAAAACAGATAAAAATTAAAGCAATAAAAATAAAATATGGCTAGAAAAGCACTGTTACAGCCCCTTATTTAATAATACCTCCCCAGCCAAAAAAGAGGCCAACTAATATGTGGAGAAAAAACATGATGAACACTGAGAAGGAGAAAGAAGAAAAAAAGAAAACGTAAAAACACAAAACAAAACAAAACAAAAAACTCTTAAGCAAATATCTTTAATATTAGAACAAAGTCATTGTCCCAACTGAACACAACCGATTAGCCTAAAAACCGGCCAAACTGATCACCAAAACAAAAACAAGAAAATCAGACAACAGACCCATCCAAAAACCTTAACCAGCACAACATAGACCAAATCACACATCCTCATGCTAAATAGACTTCTTTGACCACAAGTGAGCCCCCCATTAGCTATGTCGTCCCCCCATGCGAACTCCTCTTAATTCCACGCATTTGGTAATTAATTTTATCAGATTGAGTTCTGATTTGAGTTCGGTTCATGTGCTGGGCCTCTATCAAAAAGTCTGCCACGTAACACTCAAGTCCAAAACTTTGACAGTTTAACCAACACAAACCTGCGCCATTCATTTTTAATACACGTGGCGCAAGAACTGATAATTTCACATTATTTATAATTTTCATTTTTTCCGAAATTATTTACTTATTAGAGATGCTTTGGCCTTAGCTCAATGCCCTCCACAAGAAGCCCTCCCTTGAGGTGCTCGCTCTTGACCTCCTTAAACTCCATCTTCACCTCTTTCTGGGCCCCACCACAGTAGAACTCCCCCAATTCTATCTCCAACCAGCCGTCGCCACGTGGCATGAGGGCCCGCTCTTCCCCGTGGGCCCGCGGCACGTCAGATCCCTGCCTCTTGCACTCGTCGTGGCTCAAGTAAAACCTCGCGCTCGTTTTGTAGTCCCCAACTTGGACCGAGACTTCAAAGGGTGAAGTGGTCAGCCCAAAAGCACGGCTTGTTAACTGAACAACGAGGTAAGCCCCATAAGTCGTGTTTGGGGAAAGTATACTTGTGTTGAATTTCCCGATTATCTCGAGCCTACACACCGTTATGAGCTCGATCGCCTCAGGGAATCTGGAGAAAGATTCGGGCAAATAAACAAAATGAATTTAATATTAATCGCAATAATTTGAATTTTAGATTNAAAAAAGATTGTTTTGGTGATTTACCTGGACAGGTGGTGGGTGGGTTTCCAGCACCAGCACAGGGGATTGGTGGCCCACGTGATTGAAAGCTCCTTTGCACTCAACGTGTAACATCTCTTGTTTGTATATTTGTCCACCCAAAATGTCTGTATTGGGGAAAAAGAATTTAAATTCCAATTGGATTTGACATAATTTGAAGTGACCAGCGATAACAACTTTTTACCAAGTCTATATCTATATATAATATTGACATGTGTAGACTTTAATAATGGAATGGATTAAGATCTAGTGGTGAGGAGCCACTCAAATTATATCGTTTTATATTGTGGCCAGCAGCCCATGTGACAACACATAACTGTTTTAGTAACTTGTTATATTCATTTCATTTGATTTTTAATATCTATCATTATATAAAACGAATAACTTTTTTTTAAATTTAGAAACATTTTCCCGCCAAAATCATTACATATATCCTATATATAATAATTGTTGGACAAATCTGAATAGGCAAAAAAATATGCTCATTAATTGTGTAAAGATTTGTTTCTTTTTTTCCTGTTTCTTAGTTTATCGTTTTAATAATAAATATTTGTTTTTCTTTTTCCTATTTTTAGTATAAATCTACACGAGCTTATCTCTTATGTTACAAAATCTCATTTCATACGAGTTAGGTGTTTAAAAAATCTCATCTCTTACCTATATAGATTTGAAAAAATAAAATAAAATAGAAATCAATTCATAATTACTACTAGAAATTCATTATCTTTAAAAAGAAAAAATAAAATAAAATAGAAACTAATTCATAATTACTATTAAAATCCATTATCTACTTTAAGAAGCTAATTTTCATCGGTCTAATTACTATTATTTTTACAAATATTCTAAGCTAACCATACAAAAAAGTATAATAATAATAATTTTGAAATGGTGTGTAATCAATTTTTTTTATATTCTCTTATACAAAATCATTTTACATTGTTTGACCCCGAATCTTTAATTTATAATTATTAAGTATTGTTTATCCTCCTCTTTTATTTATAATTATTTTTTTTTCTTTCTCTTTTTAAATACGATCAATAGTAGTTTTCACTTCCGCCATTGACTCAAACTCGAGGTCTATTAATAATGTTGTTAAATTAATATTGTTCTCGTGCATCGCACGGGTACACACTAGTTATTTTCTTAAAGTTGAGAATATTTTATACAAGTGGTTGGGAGAAAGGTACAATTTTCTTCCTTTGATTATTCTTCCAGAATTTAATATAACTGAAAGAACCATTTTCTTGGAATATATATATTTTTTTTGTGAAATTGTTTGTTTGTGGACAGGAAATTTATAAATGAAATTATTTGATTGTGGAGAGGAAACTTAATAAATGAAACCACGTTTATAGTCGTGTGAAATATATCTTATAGATGCAGTGGAGNAAAAAAAAAAAAAAAAAATTATGTTTAGTTACTTTTAAATCTATTTTAGAATTATGTAGAGAACCAAATAATTTAGTTACTTTTATTTAGTTATATTCAAGTCACCTAGACTTGGTCTTTTTTATATGCCATGTAACTAAAATTAAACCCAAAGTATAGTCTTGTGATTGTAATTGCAACTGTATTATTTTAAGCGCTTGCAGACATTCTTACGGCACCAGTGCAAAATTCGAACACGCAACCATATTAATTTCAGTTAAGCTGCCTTATAATACCTCCAATCTCCATCATAATAATAACAAAACTTGCCAAAATCTAATTCTCCAGTGAATTATCATACTACTACAACTTACTGTATTTGTGGAAAATATCATTAAATAGAATAAACAAATTTAGCACGAAACAAAAACCCAATTAATATTTGTACTTGTACTATCATACATACCCATTGTCCTTGTACTGTCATCCTCATATATATATTGGACTTAAACAAAAGAAAGATAATTCATTTGATTAAGCCTAACGGACTAACAACTAGATTTCATAGTTTTTAATATATACATATGTATATAAATTGAAATTACATATTTAAAAATACTAAAATTACACAGTGATAGTTTTTCTGTTTTTTACCTACTTTTAAATTGAAATGGTATATTACAAACATAAGAAAAAAGTCTAAAATATTTTATAAAGTAAGTATGTATATTTTATTATAAAAGTAGGAGTAATTTATCCTTATTATATGTAGTTATTTTACTGCTGAGTCTATCCTTCTAATAATTTAACCGACTCACCCAGAAAAAAGTAGTCCTTTAATAATACAAAATAGAAAAATGACAATCAAATTTTCTTTTCATACAGAAAATGAAATGATTCAACCGTCATACCAAATCTGTACACCTAACAAAAACAGAAACCAAGTGTAAAATAATGATAATAATTAATTGACCAATCAGGTAGCTCATTCTTCCGAAATTTCAGCAAAGATTACCTTTTCATTTCAAATTCAAATTCAAACCAAAATTGTAAGAGCGCGCACACACACTCAAAAAAACCAATTCACCTTGTGGCCCCCGTCGATGAGTAGCGGGGCGGACGAGAGCTTGTCAAAGAGTTCCTTCTTTGAGGCGAACTCCGGCGGGCACACCGACCTCGAGATGATCTCCCTGTAATCCGACGGCAAGAACTTGTCCCACGTCAGATCCGAATCCGCTGCGCCGCGGAACACCCCGCACACGGTGGACGAGCGGCACGCGTCGCGCGGGCAGGTCAATGAGATGACGTGGCTGAGGCACTCCTCCGGCAGCGCCACCACGCTCCTCCTCGCCTCCGTCATCTCTTACTTACTGACCTGAGCTGATTAATTAGGCAGCTAATTACTATTATTATTATTAATTATTGTGTTTTATTTAAGCTGGGCAAAGAGATGTCGTTGCCGTGTAAGTGTATATATAGATAGAGTGTGCGGTGCGTGGAGTGTAGATGGCGAGTTTCTATTGGTCGGTTTGGAATTTAATATTCTGCCCCCGGCCCACGGGTTTTTTTGTCCGAACCTACGATGGCCACAGGATTTGACACGTGGGTCCCATCGATGGGCCTTTCTCGCCCGAGGACCACTAATTGGACTTGTGATTCATTTTACTTGGGGGTGGGAAGAGGACACCTGTCTTGCTTAGATGTCCACAGGATTTTATTCCCGATCATCACAGGCCACCGCTTTTACCACAATTAGATTTATTCCAAAAATATCAAAGGAAATGGAAAATAATCAATCGATTTATGTGGGTGCTAAGAGGGCAGAACATACCATGATCATACCAATGTTTTTATGTAGAGTGATGGATTAGAGTAGAGATTAATGAAATTTCACCTCGTTCATTATAGGAAACCACTTGTCATTACCTTGTTTAGAAAATACAGGCTCTCCATTTTTTATGAACTTGATGTGATGCACCCTAGCTTAGAATGTTCTATATACTGTTAAGGCGAGTTTGGTTGCACATATTAGGCTTGATATCATGCATTCTATTATTATAGTCATAAGTTTAAGTTGTTTGATTGGTTAATTAAAAACCATTTATAATTGTTGGGCCCAGTACCTTTAGGGTCAGTTTGGTTGCAGAAATTGATTGGGCTTGATACTATCAATAATACGAAGGCCCAACTAATCCTTAACTCCTTATCACATCAAAACCTTTATTTAGTTGTTATTTTAGTCCACCAAAATATAAGGCCTATATCCTATTAACTTGTTTGGTTTACACTATTTTTGTACACAAAAATCAGATTGCTATATATTTTGCACTTTATTTTCACTTTGTTCCAATATTGTCCTCCTTGTTACCTCGACTAAAAAAATGAGCGACCATCTCCTTCAAAAAAAGAAGATCTTGATCTCGCCCCAACGATTGCGATTCAACGGAATATTTCGATTTCTATTTTTTTCTTCTCCGGAAAGGAGGGCGGCGATCTCGAACTCGGTCGCGGTCAGGGACCCCATCCGACGATTTGAGTACAGACGGGGATTGGATAGAACGGCGGACATCAGGCAGGAGGTGAGCTCGAGGCTGGCGAGGGTCAGGTCGCTCCACTACGAGGTATATTTCGTCACCTATTCAATTTGTGGCTTCTTCAGTTTAATAATTTTAACATGTTCGTAAGTGATAAATTATTTATTTACGAATTTAATTTATAATTTTACTAGGGTTTGGATGTTTGAGTTTGTGCAGATTTTGTTGTGTAAAGTGTGGAAACCCAGATTGTTGATTGTGCCTAAGTATTATCAAATTAGTAACTGAAACCCTACAAAATGAAAACAAATTGTTTATTTTTTTAATTTTCTTTTAGATTGTTTATTTCCTGTAAAGTTGATTATAATGCATGTTTGAGTTATCTAATTTGTATAATATGCCCTACAAAATAATTTTTCGATTTAAAGAAATAACATGTTTCTTTATTGGGGTACTGGTTCTGGTTGCTAAATCTTCATTTGCTTATTATTTTGGAGAAAAAAGATTACATAAACAATAGCGTACACCCTTACACCCGTAATGTTGTAATATCAATTATGTCAGTAGCACCTCACTGTAATCAAAATGAAGAAGAGTGTCTCTACGACCAACTTGGAAATGTTGCGAACAACATCGAAGTTCATAATCTTGGAAGGTTCAATACATACATCTTCCTAATACGAACTCGGTTAATGCAAAAATTCAACAAGGACTTGACCTTATATAATATAAAAATTAGTGCAGAGTTATTGTGATGTGTACAACTCTTATGCGGCCAGACAATCCTGGAGTTCATTACATCGTGAAGCCAACAAAGTAGAAGTCAATGGTGTTCCAATAGTAAGGTAATGTGCTTCTTGATATTGAATGACTTCTCTATAATGATAAAGTTAGTCCATTTTCGTCAAGAAATATGTTTTGGCACAGTGCTAGATTAAATGTTGTAGCCCTGATCCATTCTTTCTTGTTGGCAGGAGAGCGATCAAGAAAAATACTTTTGCACTCACGGCATAAAGTATTTCAAGACATCCCACCTTTTGTTCGATGAAAAAATGCATCCCGATTGACTTCGACCATACGACAGGAAGAAGAATGACCCCTACAGACTAAGAGGAACAAGATGTCATTTGTTGGTAGTCTTTTGTGACATTTTGGTTGTCTTTTGTGACATTTGTAACAAATGTCATTTATTGGTAGTCTTTTGTGACATTTGTATTTTAATGAAAATCTTTTTATGATGTTGTAGAACAAGCCTATGGATTCAGTGATGTGCAGTTGGGATGATATGTAGAATTAGTGTTGAATTCTGCATGAATTTGGGTTTAACACAAAGATCCCAACGTTATTCTCTCGTGGGAGAGCGATAATTCTCTTAATGAAGGGTTGAATTCCATCGAGGGTTGGGATCGATCCAATTTTCTTTTCTGAATTCTATTCCTATGGAGTTTGATATTAACGGGGTGGCCAGTTCTACGCAAAATGCAGATGCCCTAGGGGGTCTATTCAAGAAGATTGCGTTATCTGAATCTGAAGGAAATACCATTGATCTCAAAGATGATGACATCAAAATTAGTGCAGCAGAATGCCAACGGAGCTTGTTTGGGAAGATTATTGGTGATCGTAAGGCCAACCTTATTGGAATACGGCGCACCATGGGTTCAATATGGCAAATTCAAGCTCAAATGGAGGTCAGGGAACTTCAAACAAATTTCTTCCAGTTCTTGTTTGGAAATTCAAAAGACAAAGTCAAAGTTCTCAAAGGTACAAATTGGGTTTTTGAAAACCAATATATGATTCTAGCGGAATGGGAAGAAGGCATGACTGAGAAAAACCACAAATTTTCAGAACTTCAGCTCTGGGTGCAGGTCAACAACATTCCTATTAATTGGTTGTGTACTGAGGTAGGCTTAAAAGTGGGGAAAGCTTTCAAACGAGTTAAATCGGCATCGGTTATTAAGGCAGGTGGGCAGAGAGGAAGTTTCATCAGACTACTTGCGGTATTGGATGTCAATAAACCCCTTCCTAAAGTAGCTTGTCTCAAGCTCCACGACACGCACATTATGGCTACTTTTCAGTATGAAAAACTTATTAATGTATGTTTCTACTGTGGTACCATTGGTCACTTGGAACGCGCCTGCAATAAAAAGGATGATGATATTGCAAAAGCCTCACTTAATGAAGGACAATACGGTGATTGGCTGCGGGCTGTAGATGGGCCGTACGGATATAGATCTAACTCGGCATCAAATCCAGAGAGTCACTCTCCTAATAGCCATTCTCAAGAGCACGACGCTCATCCTATTGAGGAGAATAATGGTTTTAAATCGGCGGGCAGTGGAGTGAGAGCAGAATTGGGCAAAGAAGTGAGTATTGCTGACAACTCAGCCCAAGAGGAACCGTCCTGCAGAATGCTGAGTAAAGGTAAAGCCGTTTGTCTATCTAACGATGAGGAAGATTTGGTTCATAATGTTGATACCAGTATAGTCCTTGCTATGGACTATGAGCATGTCACGGCTGCTTCAGAACCTATCAAGCAAATCCAGGCCAATATGGACATTCAAGAAACACCAGCCACTCAGAAAAGAAAAAGATGGACTAGAAAAACACAAGGGGTTGCTGGAGGGAAAAACACCGGAAATCTTACAAGCATCCCTGAAAAAACAGAAACTCAAACTCGAAGGAGGAAGCGAAATCAGGTCATGGAAAATTATGAAGAACCAGTTGCTGAAGGAGATGCTCAGGAAAATAAAAAATTGAAGTGTTGCACAGTGAAGGTGGGGGCGGCCAGCCTTGAGTGGCCCCCAAAGGATCAATGAAGCTTATGATGTGGAATTGTAGAGGGTTGGGTGGACCCTCCACAATTTCACAACTTAAGGAGTCTTCTAGACTCCACCACCCGGATCTCATTTTTCTTTCTGAAACAAAAAAAACTAATCATTTTGTTAAAACTGTTTGTAATAGAATAGGGTTTAAGGATAGGTGGTTTGCTGTTGAACCTTTAGGGTTAAGTGGGGGTTTATTAGCATTATGGAGCTGTAGTGTGGAGGTGAAGCAGATTATTAGTAATCAATTTTGCATGCAAATGGAAGTTGCTGTGTCAGGGATAGAGGGGGTTTTTTGGGTTATCTTCTTGTATGCTAGTACTGATAAGAGGGAGAGAATACTACAATGGCAGTATTTGGAGAGGGTTAGTGGGGATTGGGGGAGTAACTGGGTTTTGGGTGGGGACTGGAATGAAATCTGTGATGCTAGTGAAAAGAGGGGGGGTAGGAGGAAAGCTGAGAGGGAGTTTGCTGATTTTAATAATTTTATTTCTAGAATGGGGATGCAGGAGATTCATTTAACTGGTTATAATTTTACTTGGGGAAATAACAGGGATGCTGAAGGATTCATTGAAGAAAAGATTGACAAGATTTTTGCCTCTTATGAATGGCTTGAGGAGAATCAGCATGCTGGGGTGGAAAATATATTCAAAAGTTCCTCTGACCACTGGCTATTGCTTTTAAACTCAAACCCTCAGGTCCATTATCAAAAAGGAAAAAGATTTTTCTTTGATAAACGATGGCTGCATAGAGAAGGAGTGAGAGATGCTGTGCTAAAAGGGTGGTCTGCTAAGCAAACAGGTACTCCAATGTTTCAAGTCTCTGAGATAATTAAAGCACAAGGATATCTTTACTTCATTGGAGCTCAAATTTCAAAAAAGAACAAGTTGCTGAGAAGAAGAACATTACTGATCGACTGGAGGAAATGAGCACTCAAGGCCAAAACAGAGACTGGGAAGAGTGGAATAGGTTAAGGGGTGAGCTTAACAAGTTAACAAAGGCTGAAGAACAGTTCTGGGCCCAGAAAGCAAGATCCAGGTGGCTTAGGGAAGGGGATTCAAATACAAAGTATTTTCATGCCACAACCATGCAAAGAAGGAAAATGAACAATATCTCAACTTTGGTGGATGAGCAAAATCAGTTGTGGACCAAGGAGGAGGACATTCAGCTTCATATCTGCCAGTATTATGACCACATTTTCATATCAGAAGGATCCTTTGGAGAAAATGATATCCTGCACCAAATTCCAGAGACTATCACTCAAGATATAAATGCTTCCCTCACAACCCCTGTTACTGAGAAAGAAATCAAAGCTGCCTTATTTAGCATGGAGCCTAGCAAGGCTCCTGGCCAAGATGGAATGAGCCCTATTTTTTTCCAGAAGTTTTGGAGTGTGATCAGGGAGGACTTCTGCAAGGCTGTGTTAAGTGTCTTTGAGTCAGGCAGGATTCTGAAAAGTTGGAACCACACAGTGATCTCTCTCATTCCTATGTGCTTAAATCCTACTACATTGAAGCATTATAGGCCAATCAGCTTATGTGGAGTGGCTTATAGAGTGATTGCTAAGATTCTATCTCTGAGAATAAGACCTTGCCTAGCAGAGTGCATTAGTGAAAATCAAGCTGCATTTGTCTCGGGAAGACAGCTTTTAGACAATGTGGTACTTGCACAAGAATGTGTTCATTTCCTAAACAGGCATGCTACAGGAAAGAGAGGATTCATGCTGCTCAAACTGGATATGTAGAAGGCCTTTGACCGCATTGAGTGGAATAGTGTTAAAAAGGTGATGCTTAAGAGGGGATTCCATAAGGTGTTTGTGAACTGGGTATGGGCTTGTGTATCTTCTCCTACCTACTCTTTCAACATAAATGGGGAGCTAAAGGGCTATATCTCAGCCTCCAGAGGCATCAGACAAGGTGACCCTATCTCACCATACATCTTTATCATTATTTCTGAAGTTTTGTCAAGACTGCTTAAAAGGGAAGAAGAAACTAGAGCTTTCTGTGGTCTGAAAATTGCCAAGCATAGTCCTGCTGTGTCTCATCTAATGTTTGCAGATGACACACTTGTGATGTGTAAAGCTGATGGAAATCATGCTAGGACCCTAATGTCTTTGCTGCAAAAATATCAAAAGTTCACATGTCAAAAGGTTAACATGGGGAAGTCCTCAATATTTTTCAGCAGGAATTGTGTGCCTTCTCTCAAATCTGAAATATGCCATTTGCTGGGGAATATTCAGGCTCATAGGTCAACCAGATACCTAGGTCTTCCTCTAGGTATTGGTAAATCCAAAAAAGAATCCTTCAACTATGTCTTAAATGCAGTCAAAAATAGATTGATGAGTTGGGAAAGTCAGTTTTTATCTGCAGCTGGAAAAGAAGTTCTTTTAAAGGCAGTTATTGGTGCTCTTCCTGTCTTCTCAATGTCATGCTTTTTTTTGCCAAAGGGAGTATGTCAAGACATCTCAAAACTTTGAGCTAGCTTTTGGTGGGGTAGGAGTGATTCCCAATCTGGCATTCACTGGAAAACATGGACACACCGGTCTTTGCCAAAAGCTCAGGGAGGCCTTGGATTCAGGGATGTAATGCTTTTCAATGAGGCACTTATACTCAAACAACTTTGGAGATTGACTACCCAGCCCCACTTGCTAATGTCCAGAGTTCTTAAAGGGAAATATTACCATGACACTTTCTTGCTGCAGGCCAAATGACCTTATAATGCATCATGGCTGTGGAGCAACTGGTTGGTGATCAAAGATAAGTTCAGAAACAACTTTAAAGTGGAAGTCAGAGAAGGCAGAAACATTAATGTGTGGCATGATCCCTGGATAGCTGGGAAAACAAACGGGCTGCCTACCTGGAATAGTTCTGGAGTGAGCACAGTTACTTGGGTCAGTGAATTGGTGCTAGGTAATGGCAAAACCTGGAACAAAGAGTTACTGGAGGTATGTTTCTCCCCTTCTGATGTTGAGGCTATTTTACAGATTAGATCCCTAGACCCTCTACTTATTGATAAATGGAAATGGGGATTGGATACCAAAGGCAAATTCTCAGTTACTAGCTCCTACTCTCATTTAGTGCTCAATAAAATTCTGAATCTTGATGTGGCTGAGGGGAGTGATTCTGCTGAAAGGGAGACTAAAATCAGGGACAGAAGCTGGAGATTGAAAGTTAGCAGTAAGCTCAAACATTTCATCTGGAAATGTTCAAATAATTCCCTGCCAGTTTGCTTAAACTTGAAAAAGAGAGGGCTTCAGGTAGATCCCAGGTGTTATTGCTGTGGGGAAGATTGGGAGTCCATTGAACATATACTACTGCATTGTGACAGGGCAAAGAGGATCTGGAAAATGTCTGCTGTCCACTGGGAAGAATCTGAGATGGCAACTACTTTCAAGCATTGGTGGGCCAATGTCTGTTCAGTAGATAAAAGAGAGATATCAGAAGCTAGAATTTAACTAACCATCTACATCCTTTGGTGGTTATGGAAAGCAAGGAACATCTGGAAGTTTCAAACCATTTGGATGCCTGATATTGCTATTCTTAAAGCTGCACAGACTGACTGGTTGGAATTCAAAGCTTGCAATCAGAAGTCAGAACAACAGTGAAGAAGAAAGTTGATTACTAGGTCCTTTTTGGTTCAGTGGTGTCATCTTTTCATTTATCTGTTGTTTGTATATTTTCTCGGTTGGCTGTGTTGCTGTTTGAGTTGGAGTAGGTCTAGTTTTTGGAGGTCCTCAGTTTATCTGTCTCCAAATCTCTGTTGCTGTTTCTGTTTTTAGGATTGGTTGTAGCTGTTTAGCTGCTTTCCTTTAATGCTGGTAGTATTGATTATGTGGGGTTTAGACCTTCTTTTGTGAATGGTCTCTGTTCTGTTTGTATTGAAACATTAGGCTCTTGCCTCCGGTTTGTACATATTCTTATATGAATGAAAGCCTATCGTTTTGGGGAAAAAAAATGTATTGGCAATGTGGTTGGTGTTATTTTGGAAATGACAGATGTTGATCATGACTTTTTATTTTGTACAAAGCTTGAGTGTGAAATTGTTGAGGTTGATTTGTGTGTTCAGGATGATATACTATTGTTCATTTGACCAAATCTTAGTTGCACCTTGTACAGTTGCTTTGGAGCTCATTACTTGAGCATATTATAAAAAAATGTGATGTGAGGTTTAATAGTGTTATAATTGCCATGGCAAACTGTGAAACTGATTGAATGGATCAAACATATTGACAAAATTGAGATATTAATGTTGTGCCCATGACTTATATATACAGTTTCTGAAAAAGACAAGAAATGCAAATTCAAACACAACTTATATATAGAGTTCCTTCACTCATTTATGCAAATGAAAGTTTAAACTGTTCTTGAACTGTATCCTGCATCATTTAGCATCAACCACATTAAACATAAAAATGAACATATTTGACATGTGAATAGTTGACATTAAAGAAGAATTTATGTTTGCTTGACTTGATTATCGGTAGGAATCCATATTTAACAAAAAACAACAAAATAGAAGACCAGAAGAAACAAAGCTATCACACTTGAGACTTAATAGCTTTCACAATTTTGCATAGATCATTGTAAGATTCACATTAATGTTTATGAGTGCAAATTCTTCTAAATAAAATTGGCCATTCCTGTTTCTCTATATCCTCACATACACCAGCTCCAGAAGCATGTGCCTACATCTCCTTAACTTATATACACAGTAGAGAGACCTCCTAATGTCATGCTTATTTAGAACCTAAATATTATATACTTCAAAATATACTTCTATTACACTTTTAATCCTTTAGTTTCTCCATGCATTTTAGACAATTGTTGAACTTGTTGCCTCCACAATAAACACCAAGTTCAACATAATTACTTTTTAAATCTAATTACTAATTCATGCCAAAACACATCAATGAGAAATAATAATATATTAAGTTGAAGTAAACATCATTCCAAAACTAAAAATGTAGAAGTTTTCATCAAAATACCAAGAACAAACCACAATAGAGTTCATAAGCCTAACCAAAATAGAATACTAATTTCTTAGATTTCTTTGTAAGACAATAGCAATAGACCTGCATGCTGATACAACCAAATCACCTCTGCAAAATCTAAGCTACACTCTATTTTCAACTACATAATTCACCAGAAATGGAATACATGAAGTTTGTCCACATCCTAAGAAATTGTTGTCATTTTTTCAATATAAAGAATTGGAATATATTATGATTCCCTTTAATGATATGTCATTGAAAGATTGAAAGAATGACATTACAAAGAGAATATTATCTTTTGGATTTATCTCTTTTTAGTTAAAAGGAATATATTCCATACCTATTGCCTTTGATTTTTTTTCCAAGAACATGTATGTATGTAATTATGTTTTATGAAGGAAGAAGGTATTTGTAAAATAATTATAAATAGTGGATGTGTTTTATCTCTATCATGCATCAATCTTTCGAACATACAAATTTCGGGCTGGGAAAACTGAATTCGATCAGTTTACTCGACAAATATAAAGTACATTACTCTTCTTCTTTATTTTGAAAATTGCAGGATGGCTTCGAGGGACAAGCTTAAGGGCGTTGTTTCCCAAGAGAAAGTGTTCTACACCAAGGACTGGACGAAAGAGGTTGATCGCATGTTCGTAGAAATCTTGAAAGACCAAAAGAATCAAGGATTTTTTGAGCTTGGATGTGAAAATAGCCATGCACTTATTCGAGCATGCTCAACGAGCACTTCAGTAAGAACTTTGATTACAAATTTATAAATGGTAGGCTTCGTAAGCTACGTAAGCATTATCAAGTTTTCAAATGGATCAACACCTTAAGTGGCGTGGTGTACAATGCCAATGGCCATACGGTTGACACTTCAGCACAAACTTGGGACTATATTGTTCGTGTAAGTGCAAATAAATATTGTTTATTTCATTTTTTTACCATAATTGAAGAAAATTGTTTTGTTAACAGGAAGAAAAGCTCGAAATGGCTTACATGAAAGAAGGTGAACTCCTTTTTTTCGAGCTTCAGGCCCTGTTCGAAGAAGCTCCAGAAGACCTGGGTGAAATGATGGCCCTGAAATTATTGAGATTGAATCAGATACTGACAGCGGAGAGAATGACGATGGCGGTGACCCTTACTTGCCTCTTGAAAATGAGTCAGGCAATACCAATAATTCGTTTTGGAACGAATTGGCTTGGTACAACTCCGAATCCGCGAGTGCATCCTCTGTGCAAGACTACGATCACCCTCCAAGCAAACTGTCAAGCACTGAAGAGGTTTTACGAAAATGTAACCATCATTGGGCTGGTCACTAGTGGAATACCAAAGGCCATGATGGAGATGACGTTCTGAACAACTCCACTGCATCATCCTCCCCACTGAAAAAGTAGGTCTTACAGTTGTTGTTTATGTAACGATGGTTATCTATGTAGTCTTAAATTTAATGCTTCCAATAAGTTTGTCGTGTAATTTGGCTCTTTGTTCGAGGGAACACAAGGCGAAGAAGGCTGATTTATTTGGTCTCGACCATATATTTCAGAAGTCCTTATACTCCTTGTTCGGTGGAGCTCAAATGAGGGCGTCTAAGTAGTCTTAAATTTATTGCTTTCAATAAGTTTGTCGTGTAATTTGTCTTTTTGTTCGGGAGAACACAGCGCGAAGAAGGCTGATTTATTTGGTCTCGCCCATAAAGTCCTTATATTCTTTGTTCGACGGAGCTCAAATGAAGGCGAAATATTAGTGTTTATCAGTTGTTAGTGGCATTAGCCTTAGTTTATCAGGATTTCGATCGGTCACTAGTGTCATTGAACGTAACGTTTGTTGTTGTAGTTTCTTGTCGGTTGTTCTATTGTTGTTGTTGTTGTTTGTTGTCGGTTGTTTTTTAATGCATTGCCGTCGTTCCAATATTTGTCTTATGTTTTCTTAACAGACACATTGACTTTCAATTACCCTACTGATTTTAAAACTTAGTAAAGCAGATTAATTGCTACATTCTTACTTCATTTTCAATCATTTGAAGATTTGCAGCCTTCAATCCTTTAGAAATTAAAATTTACCAACAATCATCTAAAAATGTTAGCAGTTCAAAAACTCTCAATCCTCTTGTTACAATATGTTAGTAGTCAGGATACAAAAATATAAATTTAATCAAAATAATCCTTCAAACACATATAATGCAGAATATTAATAGCAGATAATTCTACTCGAATATGCAGGGAGAGGATGTTCATGGGATTTAAGGCCTTATAAACCTTTCCGGTATAGAATCACCGGGCTTACTTCAAGTCTGGCCATTGCTGAACATGTTGCTGCTCGATTATCAAGATAGATAATCAGCTTGCCATTATGTTACAAAGAATACCAGACATTGAAAAAATGTTACTTCTCATAAAAATGTCGCTTCTCATAAAATTGTCGCTTCTCATAAAAATACCAGTTCTTAACATACAATCGAAACAACAAACAAAACCATCTATAGACGAATTACAAACAGTGCATTAAGTTATCTAATAACATCAACTTTTCCATCATAGTATTACAACGACACTAATGAAAATGCATGACGCCTACAATCAAAACACTCCATGTTTGAGCAGCCATATAACAACAAACATGCACACTACATCAAGAAAAATATGATTTTTGTTTCCAGAACTTTCTCTCCTGTTCAGTGATGCTAAATTCTCCTCAAGCACGCCAATTTGTGTTCTCAACGTCCTTATTTTTTTCTTCTTTCTTTGCAACTTCTCACTTAAACCTTCCAACAACACATCTTTTTTCTTTACTTCTTCCTCCAACATTGATCTATCAGACCTTAGCTTTAGGTAGCATGACTTCTGAAAATGAGGTATTTCCTCATCGAACCACTCAAAGAACGGGCAGGCTTTCGCCTTAAAAAAAAGTGAATTCATATCAAAAATAATATTTTGAGAAAAAAAATTGTGGAAATTCAATTGACAATCATACCGAGAGACTTACGTTGCGATATTTACACCTATAGAACCTCCGAGACGGATTTTTATCTGTGTTAGACGTTAAAAACTCAGCCTCCTTGAGAAAATAACATAATTTTCGAGGACTATCTGATCTTGCGTTGCTTTGTGCTGTCCAACCACTGCTTCCAGACATTTTCTTTGAATAATCTTTTCACCGTAGGGGATGGACTGAGATATCCAGTAGTGACTGAAGCTATGGTTTCAAAATCAAAAAGTTAAAGAACTTAGATGATTTGTAGGTTAGCTCGTTTTGGAAACTAGGAATATATTCCACCAAAAAGAATGCTTTGTATGTAGCCTATATAGGGATGATGGAATATATTTTGATTCTCTTAGAACAAAGGTGTCTTTTAGTAAATCAAATATCTGTTGATCTTTGTTTGTTTATATAACATTGATCACGTGAAAGTGCATCCAAATATTGATTTATGCAATTGTCCAGTTGTCTCTGTGGGTGAATCTAAACATTGATAATTACTTTACATCCAAATGTTGATTTTCTTTATAATTTTTTTTTCTTCTCTATTCATTGAGATGTAATTTTGAATTTGTTATTTGTGGGCACTGTTAAGAAATCATGTGTTTATATCTGCTTTGTTATTTGTGAAGAATGTGAACTGAAGATCATTTAAATCTGTGACCTGAAGAGTTGGATTTAATTTGCCAGTTGCTAGGAATAAAACACAATTAGTCCAACTATGATGATTTTTTTTTTTTGGTTGTTCTTCTTGAAGCACGTTTTATGGTTTCCTTCATGTTAGAAAACAATAAATTCATTCACTTTTGTGGAACTGTCCAAAATGGCAGGTAATGACCGTCAAAAGTTGATTAAAATCGGACAATTTTCTTAAAAATGTCTAATCTTCAGACAAATGAACCACATTCCATGAAGTAAAACGTTTTATAAAATGCAGCGGGACAGCTAAAACCCACATTAATTAAGACTTAAGTTGATTACAACCTTTCCCAAACTTTAATCTGTTTGCCAAATATTTTTTATGTTATCTTTTCAAGTTCCCGAAAGCAATAGAAAGGCCAGGAACATTTTCTTAATTAAGAAAATAAAAAACTTGGAAACATAAAATGGAAAAGATGTATACACCAAAAATACCTGTCTATGCACAATTCATATTTTTTAGTTGCACCCCTAGGAACAGAGTACAACTTCCAGTACTTATCTGGCTCAACATCTTAGAACATACTTTTTCTTTCCAGCCATCACAAAGTACAAGTTCCAAGCCACACATCCATAACTTAGCGTTTTAAGGATAACTAGTACAAGTTCCACATCAAATATTACAAAAAATCAACATCACAAAGTACAAGTTCCAAGCCACAACATCCATAACTTAGAGTCTTTAAGGATAACTAGTAAAAGTTCCATCCTTATAGTTTACAAAATAGACAAATCCTTGAGGAAGGTCAGGATTTGAATTTCTTCCCTACAAAACACCAATACAAGTTCCATCACAACAGTTTACAAAACAAGCCTCACTACAAAACACCAGTACAAGTTCCATCATAAAAGTTTACAAAACAAGACATCATACAACCTGGGAAAGAATCAAATGGCCACTGAAACAAACCATATCCTTCATATATTTCCAGACAACTTCATCCTTACGATTTCATCTCGGGCAACATCATCAAGACTAAAGAACAAATCTAACTCATCGATGTTTTTTACTAGAACTTTTGAGATAAGCAACTGTTCTTGAAGATTCAAACCGTCGATTTTCCTTACAGTAGAATAAACATCCTTTCGAGCATTTGAAACATCATAATCGTACCCTAGCCTTTTTGAAATTTCCCCCAAACAGGCATTCGAATATTCAGCAAAACCTTTCATAACTTTGCATAGTTCATCAACATTCCCACTCGACTTTCGCTTACGCCCGACACTTTTTTTTGTATCTGTTGAAGAAGGTGGTTGGGTACTCTCTGACATTATTTCGTTGACCTCATCTTCCATTTCCATGTTGACAACATTCATGAACTGAGGTTGACTTGAAGTACGTGCAGAGTCAGACATATTGACATTGCTTACGGCATCAAAGATATCCTCGGCTTGCTGACCCGTCACCCTATCCTTTCCAAAGATCTCCGTCCAGTTGTAGTAGTATGGCCATGATTTGTGACGCATGAGACGGGCATGTGCATCGACCTACGAAAAAACAAATCACACAAGGTAAACAATTTCACTATATCACCTGCATGACAAAATCATTCCATTCTTGACAACACATAATATTTTCCATTAATTTATAAACTTACAAATATCACAATATACTGCTTATATCAAAATTTCTGAAATTAGTCACTAAGTTAGTTATCTTTACTTTTTCTTATAAATTTTTATATATCAGTATTTAGTACCGACGCATAGAAGATCATAGCAATACTCACAGCTTCAAATTGTATTAAGAAAAAGTGGGTTAACTAAAATGGAAAATTGGCCTCCAAGCCAATAGATTATAAAATTCTCATTCCCACTACTAAGTTCATGTCCAAAAAGTTACCTTTACACATGCAGCCCATGCTTCGTCAGTACATTCTATCATCATGTTTGTTTCATTCCACCCAACTCCAGTTCGCGAAAGCATAGTACAGAAGCTACCATAATCTTTCTTCCAAACGTGGATTTTTGAGTTGATATGGGGCAAACCTTACAAATCAGTACCTGGTAATTGTTTAACCAATTCCTGCTCAAGGACGTTGAGAAATCCCATCTTGAAGCCGTTTTCCGATTTCCATCCACTTGTTATTATTCCTTTCAGTGCAGCAATGAGAGTTTTCTCCTCATGCCCACTCCAACTACGTCGACCCTTGTCTGCTCGTGCCTTTCTCGGTTTTTGGTTCATAGCTCCATTACAGTTCATCATTTCTACAAAATAATCATAGAAATAATAGGGATAATAGCTGGATAAATTCATATACATTTTAATGTTTAACACAATATCACAAACATGAATGATTGGATTTAAAGAAACTGAAATATTAAACAAGAAAAAATATACAGCAATGATTGAGTTCAATAAAATAAATAAAGTAAAATGCAAATAATACAATGACGACAATAATGTATTAAATTAAATAACTCAACAATCTGTCTAAGAGTTCAAAACCCAATACAATAATACATATCAATTCAAACAATACATCTCCACTCATTGAACATGGACGTAGCTAAGGTGTCTCTCCAATCAGACCACTCATCTGAGTTCTCAACAGAATCAATGAATGTCACGTCCACATCGTCACCATCTTCAATCTCATCCTCTTCTCCTACCATCATCTCCATGGGATCCGCAGGAAGCTCCATTCGAATGAAATTATGAAGAAGTACGCATGCCATTA